GGCCGTGCAGGAGACCCCCACGCTGCATCTGGCCCGACCCGGCCCCGCCCCGCGGACACGGCGGCGGCTGGAAGCTGTCAACCATCTTAGCTCGGCGCTCGGCCGCTCCGCGGGCTGCTCCCCCGGGCGGGGGGTGGGGGTTACCTGAGACCAGCCACTGGCCTCCATTGTTGGAGAACTCGATGGCGTTGACGCAGCCGAAGTGTCCCAGCAGGTCCTTCTTGTAGAGGTTCCTGCAGCCCCGCAGGCGCCGCCGCTGGAAGTCCTGCGTGAGCAGGGGGTCGCCCGCCAGGCCCCGCTGGGACAAGAAGCCCACCACGGACCGCATGCTCTCCCCCGCGCCCCGCCGCCGCCGCATACTGCCTCCGCGCCCTACCCCGGCCCCTGCCCGCCGCCCGCCCACCCGCGCCTCCGTCTCCCCTGTCGCAGCGGCGATCCCCCCTCAGCCGGCCATGGCAGCGCGAGAGAGGTGTGAGACACTCCGCCGCTTCCTGATCCCCCTCAAACTCCTCCCCTTTCTCCCCTCAGCAGCTGATCCACAGCTGCAGCCGCCTTCATGCACCGCTGCTGCCGCCTGCTCGGCAGGAGGCGGGGGGATCAGCGCTGCCATCGCCCCAGGGCTGAGCCCCCCACGCGGGGCTGTGGAGATTGGGCTTGTTTCAACTCCTCCTCTCCACGGACCAAGTGTTTTGCCGTGTGCAAAGGGCTCGGCGGGTCTCCTTCCTCCTCTCTGCCACCTACATCTGGTGACACCAAGGCTTTTCCTCCAGCCAGGCACATGCAACCACCGCCTTGCTGCCCGGCTGCCCTTCGGCCTGTGCAGTGTCTGCTCTGCTCCTGTTGGCACCACCGAGCAGCCAGGGAGTCATCATCCCCCCCACCTGCATGCGGCTGATGTGCAGAGAATCAAACTTCAGCTTGGAAAGGGAAACCAGCGACCTTTTAATCCCCAGGTGTCCCCAGGGCTAAAGATGTCCTCTTCTTTAGAGAATCACCTTCACACTCAGTTTTTTTAATTCGGTCACACTGCCCAAGAACCCCATGGAAACAGGCGCCGCCATTCCTGGGGTTGCTTTCAGACGCATGCATCTTTTGAAGGTGGGGGGAAAAAAACCACAATTTGTGCCATTTTCAGTCATGAAAGATCTTGATGTTGTGGCAGTTGCACACTGAGGAAAGAGGTTTTCATAAGCAGGTGTCTTGGTCCTTGCTGAGACCTCCCTGAAAAGCAAATGCAGGGACATTTCGCTACGCAGGGAGGATGTAAAGTTGGGCCCAGAAAGGTATCTGCAAGCTGTGGACGATGCACCAGATCTTACTCTCCCAAAATGTTAATTTTTAGGGGGTAAGATTTCCAACAACCATCCCTTAAGACTGGTGAGTTTCTGTAGGACTCCCTTGCATCAATCAGAAGTGAGTAGTTGCTGCTGCTGTTTTTTAAATGTCATAATCAATCAAAGAAAACTAGGGTTGGAAGGGACCTCAGGCAACTGGTGCCTCGAGTCAGGGGGTGCACGTGCACCCCCGTGCACCCACAATGTGTCACCACTCTCAGGAGGTCATCTAGTCCAACCCTCTGCTCAAAGCAGGACCATCCCCAACTGGATCATCCTAGCCCAGGTTTTGCCTACCTTGGTCTTAAAAAACGTCAAAGAACGGAGATTGCACCATTTCCCTGGGTAACGTGTTCCAGTGCTTTACTCCTCCTCCTGCAAAAGTTCTTCCTAATATCCAACCTAAACTTCCCATGCTGCCACTTGAGATCATTACTTCTTGTCCTGTCATCTGCCACCACTGAGTTCAGTCTAACTCCCACCTCTCTGCAACCATCCTTCAGGTAGTTGAAGGCTGCTATTACATCTCCTCAGTCTTCTCTTCTCCAGACTCAGTAAGCCCAGTTCCCTCAGCCTCTCCTCATCAGTCATGTGCCCTAGCCCTCTAAACATTTTTGTTGCTCTCTGCTGGACTCTCTTCAGTAGTCCTCTTCCCATGAATGTAAAATGGTTTCATACAACCAGGAATACAAAACTCTAAAACTCTTGGTTCAGGTGATACCTTTTATTAGATCAACTTGAAAATAGCAAAAAAAGAAAAAAAATATCTTTCTTTGCAAGCTTTTTGGTACACGTGTTCTTCCTCAGGCTGAGGGGAAAATAAAAATGGCAAAAGTCCCCTTAGGTCGAAAATAAACTTGATTTTGATCCCTTTGTACAACCAGAACTTTTCTCCTTTTGCATCTAGTGGATTTCTGTGGCTGTATCTCCATGAGATCTGGTGAAATTCATCATATCTTCTTCTCTAACATTGGCCTGTTACCTCACTAGTACTATAGTGTATGTATGTGTGCTAAGGGGAAAATATATTTGTATTTTATGTTTGGCATGGCCATGTTATTAAGCTGTAACACTAGATGCCATTGTAGGACAAAGGGAGAATCTACCTAAAAGTAATTAATGTTAACCACAGTACAGACACTGCCTGTGGACCCAGTCTTTCAATAGCTTGCACAAGTGCTCAGTCTTTCGTGGTGTGGGCACTGGTGAACTCTAGTGATCCAATTAGGACATTTAGACCTATCGTTCTCAAAGGGAGAAAGTGAGCTGCTGTTGATACTTTTGGAAGATGTAAAGACAATGCAGAGGGCAAGAAAGAAGCCCAATCCCATCAGAGCCATATCTATGTAGAGTTGTACCTGTTAAGAATTACAAGTCTCTAAACTAATGTAGACAAGAGGCGGGGTTTTTCTTTACTTCTTGACATAAACTGCTGTGGGGCTCTTAAACTGCTGCCATGTTCCACCTCAGAGGCGACTGCTTTTCAGTAGAAAGTGAAAAGATGTCTTTATATAAAGTGAGGGAAATACTCTGGGATTCTTCTTGGCTAAGGTTTATAGAGAGACCACAAAATCCTATAAACAGCACTTTTTTAGCTGACAACATTATAAATGCTACTTCTACTATAACGTGTAAGAAAAGTAAAACCTTCAATTACATTGAGAATAAAGCTCTGGGATTTAACTCTTATATTAAAAATGTGCAGCTTTATTTTTATACAGCATTGTTGCAAATGAATGATATCGGCATGTGAAAATGTCTTCAAATACACTATCAGAACACAAAAGATAATAAATTCATAATAGCAGTTTGACAGGAACATCCAACCAAAGTGCATTAGCTAGATATTTCTGTTGTAATGCCCATTAACAATGTCACTATTGAAATGGAAAATGATTTTAAATATATTGCTTTGCCTTTCTTACACCTTGCCTATACTAGGACCTTGCAGTAGTTACAGCTATCAGGGGCCAGCCATTGGCATACTTATACTGATGCAAGTATCTCGTGTAGACAGGCAAAGGCCCTATAAAACTTAATTCGCACAAGGGCAAATTCCCAGATTTCAGACATGAGTAAACTGCATGGAAGCTAAGCATACTTACATAGCTATTTGCCTGCCTACTTGCAGTGCCTGCACCATTATAGTTACTCCAGAGGCTGCTCACTTCATGGGTTAAATTGTCTTTGTAGATAGGCCTTAGTGACATCTCATTTTTTTCTGTAGACTCAAATTGACTGTATCAGTTTATATTCTATTCTGTAAAGGTTCATGTATTACTATCATATTGTCTGAGTGATGTCCAGAAGTACATGATGCAATGTAAGTAACAAAATCTTTCCAAAAGAGTCAAGTTTTTGCTTGGTTTTATTTTGCACTTGCAGTGAGAGTTTGTGGTAGTTTTAGTTCTGATGGAGTTTCACCCCCCCACCCCACCCCAGTCTGGAAGCATGCCAAGAAAAGTGCCAGAACTTCCCATATTATTTATTTTAATTATTTGATTTGAGGCAAAAACAAGTTTGTAAGCAATCAGCCAGAGAACAACACTTCATTATCAGACATTTTGGGTTCTGTTTTGCTTGAAGTTAAAATGATGGCAGAACTGAACACTATTCCTGCTAAAGGTAGCTTTCTGACAAAGTCTAGCAACATTGTTTACATTAGTGTTTCCTTTCCCTGTTCCTTGTTTTAAATTAACCTTGAAAACACATTATTGTTCCCAGGTAAATTATTATTACCTTAGTCAGTGGGTAGCTTCAGGCACAATTTTCTCTGTTTTGACTATTTTTCTAAATTTGCTGCTAAATATATTAATCTCAACAGGACAAATGCATTGTGATGCCTAATCATGCACGCACCATGAGAAAAAGGGGTCCACTAACCTTAATAGGAATTGTCAAAAATGGAATGGAGCTGGGAAATAGGAAGAACTTAGCAAACCAGGCCTGTTCAGTTTTACCAAGTTAACATTTTAAGAATATGAGAAGACAACGTATTTCACTTTTTATTCTTCCGCACTATTACAAAAAAAGTATTTTTGTTCCTTTTTTTTTTTCCGCACTATTACAAAAAAAGTATTTTTGTTCCTTTTTTTTTTTCCGCACTATTACAAAAAAAGTATTTTTGTTCCTTTTTTTTTTTCCGCACTATTACAAAAAAAGTATTTTTGTTCCTTTTTTTTTTTCCGCACTATTACAAAAAAAATTTTTTTTTTCCTTTTTTTTTTTTTTTTTTTTGAGACTATTATTCAAGATGATCCTGTACTAGGAAATCAATGGCAGGTAGAAGTTCGCCCTAACACCTTGGCTGTCTGTGCTGTCACACATCGCTTCTCTGCCCATTCGTCATGAGGCAGCAACTCTGGGAAGGCCAGTGAATTAAGGAAAACAAAAGTCTCCCCATCCACCAGGACCTCAACAATGTACCTCACCATTGCCTGAAGTCACACAAGCCCTTCTGGATCCACACACTTAAACTTCAGCAATATTACTTCAACCCTGATTAAGCTTTGAAAACCTAATGAATTCACAGAAAGTCTCAAATAAACATCTTGTGATAGATCCAACACAGAAGGTCCCTGGATTTGATCTCCTGTGATGCTTAAGGGCAACTCTAACGCATATCCAATTTGAGGTGCTGCTCTAACATTCATTGTAGTCAATGGCACACTAGGCTAAGGTTTAGAGACCTAGGGCCTTGTTACAGCTTATTCCATAAACCACACAAACCATGAGAGATACAGATACTTGATGCACAAATGAAAAATTAAAAACTCTCCAGTGTACAACTATGGTTGCCCAGAACAGACCATGGAACGTAAATTACTCAATCACAAATATGAAGGAGGTGTCACAGCAATACACCCTGCTGCTCCTCATGCAATTGTTTGGCTCAACCACCTAAGTGTAAAATGGTAGTTGCTGTTCTGTGTCTACATCAGCCATATGAAAGAAGAAGTGGCAGCCAAAATAATAAAAATGGGGTGTAGTGTTGTCTGTGGGCTAGATTATTTTTCCACTTTGGGGGCCTGCTCTAACA